AGAGACTAAGTTTGGCCATCTTGGCCTCCAAGGAGCACTCTGGCTGTATTTCTTCCAAAACGGATCTATTGGTTCTTTTGGTAGCCCATGGCACTTTCAATATTCTCCTCCAACACCATAACTCAAAAGCATTAATTCTTCTATGGTTTTAGTTATCTCAGATAAAATTCATTGCCTTCCAGCTGATTCTAATTCACAGTGATCCTACAAAGACATGCTGATGCTGTTATTGTTAAGTGCTGTTGAATCAGTTCCAGCTAACAGTGACTCTGTATAGGGTTTCCAAGGAGTGACAGCCATACTAGAACTGCCCATAGGGTTTCCAAGGCTGCAAATGTTCACAGAAGCAGACTGCCTCATCGTTCTCCCACGGGGCAGCTTGTGGGTTTGAACTGCAGAGCTTTCAAAGTTAGCAGCTGAGTGCTACTAGGACTCTATTCTTTAATTATTGTTGATGTTGTTAAGTGATTTTGAGTTAATTCGGACTCATATCAATCCTGTATGGGATTTCTGAGGAGCAGCTGGTAGGTTTGAATTGCCGACCTTGTGACTCACAGCCTAGTGCTGATCCTATGCACCACATTATTGTTGTTAAGTGCTGTCAAGTCAGTTCTGACTCATAGTGACCCTGTACAGGGTTTCTGGAGAGTGGCTGGTGAGTCTGAACCACTAACGTTGCAGTTCAAACCAAACTTGCAGTCCAGTGCTTATCCTATAGTGCCTCACTAGGACTCCACAGCACCACAGTGGCATTCAAAAATGAAACTTCTGGGTGAAAGTTCTTGCACATGTAAAAAGCTCATGACATGCATGTTACTTAAAAGGTTATACCCATTTACACTTTACTAGAAATAAAAAGTATTGCCTTTTTCAATGTACCCTTGCTAACACTGAGTAGGATATTTTAAAAGAAAAAAAACATCACTAATTAAGCAAGAAAAATAAATCACTAATTAAGCAAGAAAAATAAATTCTATTCCTTGGTTTTCTAGTGAGGTTAAATATTTCCCCAAATATTTGTTATCCCGTCAGTGTCCTTAACCAACAGTTGTAACTGGGAAGATCAGCACTGGATGGCTAATTGGAAGGTCGGTGGTTCAACCCACGAGCTGCTCCTCGGAAACCCTGTAAGGGTCACTATGCGTGGTTACCCTGACTCAACAGCACTTAACAACAACAACATTAAGGAATATTACAAAGATGTTGGCTGTCTTTAAAATATGTGGTGGGGTTTATGCCAAAAGGATAGTATGCTATTTGATGAATTATGGGGACTTTGTAAATACCAAGGGGCCTTGGTGTCCAGCATCAGATTGCTAAGAGAAAGGTAGCTGGTTTGAGCCCACCAACCACATGGGGGAGGGGGAGAAAGATAAGGCGGTCTGCTTCTGTAGAGCTTTAGTCTTGAACACCCTTATGGAGCAATCCTACTGCATCTTACAGAGTCCCTGTAAGTAGGAATCAACTGAATGGCAGTAGGGTGGTTTGTTTTGGGTTGAAATATCCTGGTGTGGTGCTGAAGGATAAACACTACACTTCTAACCACAAGGTGGGTGGTGCAAATCGACCAGCTGCTCCTCAGGAAACTCTAATTCAGGGTCACTATGAATTGTGCTTAACAACAAGAAGAATGAGTTGGAAGGCACTTAACAGCAACAAAACCAAGTAATGATCAGACAAAAGTAGAGATCACTTAAATTTCAAGTACATAAAAAGCGAAGCTTTAAATTGGTTTAGAATAACCAAAGCAAATGCCTCAGGTATAATGAGTTGTTTTGATTTCAGTCCTTAAGGACACTGAAAACAATCTCCTAAACTGGTTTGTAATAAAGGTAATAAATAGTACAAAATTATAAATGTCAGAAATAATGATTTTCATAACAAAGCAAAGAGTTAGAAAACCATTTTGTAACCCAGAAAGGAAGAATGTTGTTCTTCAACCAATTAGACCCCAAATTATAGTGACCATCCTATGGTCTGGGTACACTGTATAAAATTTTGTTTCTTGCAGAAGGTCATTTATTGAATTTATGCCCTTATTTATAAGGTCCGAATACATATACATAATCAATTGTCAAGAAGATAAGTTTATAATTGATGGAGTAACTCATTAGTGTTCTGTTTGCTATACAACTTCCAAACTAAACAATCCTTCAATTATTCTATAATAAATTTATCTGATGATTAGTAATCTCCCAAAGTTATAAATTTTAAACCAACACTGACAAGATAAATACATATTAATGCAAAATATATGAAGAAGAAGAATTAATGAAGGACTAGCCATGTGATCATAATTACAGCAAAGATGAATAAATGGGAATTTCCATTTAAAATTCTCAAAATGCTTTCAGTGAACTAAATAATAAAACAGAACTCTATGGCATTTTCACCAGTTGAGAAGGAAAACAAAAAGCTGAAGTTACAGCTCACCACCACTTTTACAGCGAATTGACACCACGGAATCCTCTCGCAAGGAACCTCACATTTCTAATTTGTGTTGTTCATTCTAAACTACAGCGTAGACAGGCCTATGTGCTTGATGCAGCCACTTAGCTCTGATAACAGTTGGCATTATTGCAGCCTGAATGTTCACCCTCCATGCGTAGATCCTTAATTTTTTGTGAAGAAAATTATTTGCAAAAATTGTTTATCATTATGATTAGTTGTGGCTTCCATAAGATCTCCAAAATACACACACACACACACACACACACATGTTGTTGTTGTGTGCTGTGGAGTTGGTTCCGACTCATAGCAACCCTGTACAGGGCTTCCAAGCCTGTAAATCTTTACGGGAGCAGACAGCCTCATCTTTCTCCCGCGGAACAGATGATAGTTTCGAACTGCTGATCTTGAGGTTCACATCCCGATTTGTAACCACTATGCTACATGTATATGCTGTTGTTGTTGTGAAGTGCTGTCAAGTCAGTTCTGACCCATAGCAACCCTGTATAGGATTTTCGATGAACCGCCGACCTTGCAGTTCACACGGCTTTCCAGTCTGGAGCATTAACCCACAGCCCCACACCAGGACTCCATAACTCCATATACATATATACATATGACAGCCACTGGATAAACAGCTGGAAATTAAACCAATGCAATAGAATGTGATTAATTTACATAAGGCAGGGAAAAGTACAGTATGGACAGCAGGGAGTGAAATATGGGTTTGAAGACATCTTCAAAAAAGCGGTTACAGAATGTCATAGCGCTGCTCTCAAACAGTTTGATGAGATCCATTAAGTTAAAAAAAAAAAATTAAGTGTTCTTCATGGAACCTGGCATATACAGTGTTTTAAAAATACAATGGCTTGAATATGAACACGCTAGAAGAATGCTACCAAGACCAGTGTCTAAGGTGAATTTCAAATCAAATGAAGCGCTGAGAAGCAGACGGACAGAAAGGACTTTAGAACAGTATGCTTCACACTGCCATCACCCAACAGCAGACTCTTGCACCTACCAGGATATAATCTGTATTTATAATCTAAACAACTGTCATTAACTATTTTTCTGTTTCAAAAACCTGGGCATGTTTTAAAAGTTTTTATTTTTCTGAAATTTTCTGTACTTCATTGCAGTCAAAATATGTCTTAAATGCTTCATATGATGTATGTGGCTATAGATATTATGCAACTCTGAAGGATTAGACAGCTTTCAACTCTATAAATAAAATCAGCTCTAGGGAGGCACCCTTCACATCATGGGAACGTGATCAAGGTACGAGGCAACAGACTATCAGCAGATGGGCTGTCTGTCTGACGTACTTTGATCCAGACACACTTCTCTAGCAAACTGGCCTTTAGAGAACTTCCAGAATGCAAAATCATGTCACACGGGTCATGAATAATATGGAAAAAGCAGGGAATGAGCCCAACTTCTCTTCCTTTTCCAGTTTGAGTCAGCAATAATCGCCAAACTCCCACAAGACATCATCGAAGATTAAATTGTAATATTCCAACTTCTCAACATCCACAGCTTGGCTGTGCTCTGTGCCAGATGAACTGAGTGTGGAAGATTTAGTAAGTTTCTCATTTCTTTAAAATAAATGGAACAAACGCATACCATCTTTTTAGGTATCTTTTCAAGTATCTTTCCAAGAAAGGTCATTTCTTTTCTGATGTTTTGCCTCAGAGACTCAGGTAGCTGTCAAGTTGTGTTGACATGGATATGAGGCAAAATTAAAATAAATGGGGTTACCTAAGCCTCTAGTCTCTTCATTAAGCTGCTAGGAACGCATAATGGAAATGTAAAACATAACCTTAGCAGCCATTGGCTCCTTCCTTTTTATAACTTATTTTTCAATACCTGGCAAGAGTTATAGTAAACACATTTCTGGTATAATAGAAATAGCACTGGACAAGAATCAGGAGATTTGGCTTTTGAGGCCAGGTTCTTCCATTTACAAGGGATGTGATTTGAAGAAAATGTACTAGTCATATAATATTAACGTTTGAAGAATGCTAGTATCAGTAACGATATAATTATTCAAAGTAACAAACACCAAACTCATCAATTCCAAATAATGTTAAACCAACCAACCAACCAACCAATGATCTATCAGCCACTGAGGGATAATGAGAACATGTGTACCTGTGAAACTCTTAAGCGCTCTAGTCAACATTCACATACTCAGTCACCCCTAAGTTCTCCTTCAGAGCCCCAAGCAAGCTACCATTTCACCATCATATTTCCACACCCAGCATAACTCCTGAGAATTCAACATTGTAGAATAAAAGGATGAGTGCCAGATGAGAAACATCTAAAGGACAGATGAAGTATGTGGGTAGCCCAAACCTCTCCTTCCCATTCACACCCATGAAGTTTCCTCTCATTCTTTCTGTGAAGTCCATTGGTACTCAACATCTCACCTCTGCCTTCTCTGTACCTCAGAGAATAGTCTGCTGGCCAATCAATCACAGCCAGTCCTACCTGATTGAAGAAAGGGTCAGGTGCTGCCAGCTAAGAACCCACCAGGGTGCCTGGCTTCTCACCTGGCTTGCTGGCAGACACAGCAGATCCAGACCTTTTCTTGCTTCTGGTAGGAGCAGCAGCTCTTGCAGACGTTGAACTTGCAGTCCCCACAGCGACGCTTGGTGTTGACGAGGAAGGTGAAGGGCGAGCAGCAGCGCATGCAGCAGTGCTCCACGAACTTCTGGTGCTTGGAGAGGATGCTGCACTTGCTGCCTTCCTCATCCAGCTTCTGTTTCATCTCACTGTGGGGTGAAGGGTGACAAGAAGAGAAACAGCACCTCATGTCAGGGGATCTCTTCTCCGGGTCCCCACCCTGATCTGCTTAGACGTCAAGCTGCCTTATCACAAAACTGGGATCTTCCTGTCACAAAACTGGGAAACTCAGTTGCTTAACAGAATATTCAGAGAAAGGAACTCTAATGGCAGATTAATTTTGTGTACTTTGAAAACTCACATGTTCTATGATGAAGCATGACAAATTATTTATGTTGTACACACTAGACAGAGATTCAAATTATTATTGAACAAAGTACAGCCTCTTTGTACACTCAACAGAGGAAGATCACACAGTCTGCCTTGGCCCACGAAAGCTCTCAAATATGAAAATATGAGTTTAAATTTGCTGAATGATCTCATACCACTGGTGATGCAAACTGAGGTGGTGAAAATGCTCAGTGGCGCCCCCTTCAAATGGCATACAGGGCACTTGCCATCACTACCATCCCTTAGATGCACCACTGCAGGCCTTATTTAACATATTCCAAGAAAGACTGTTGTGAGGATTCATGTCTTACTTAGCATAAATGCTCTCTGCTCCTTTGAAAAGTTAAGGTTTCAATTTTTCAAATCTATTTATCTTACATTTTGATCAGAGAATAGGATTTGGAATATATTAATTCTGTTGGTATCTATTAAGATTTGCACCACAGCCCTAGTTCAGGATCTATTTTTGTAAATGTCCTATGTGTCTTTTTAAAGAACATTTTGGGTAAATGTCCTTTTGACCTCAAATAGTTGATTATTCTAAAATGTGCATACCTCCCTAGTATTACTCATCCCTTTACAGACCTGTCTACTGTTTGGCTGACAATTGAGCCATGGAGGTGAGTTCATTTCCATACTGAAGGGTGTCTAGGAGCCATAGTCTTAGGGATTCCACTAATATCTACTTTATTAAGCGCTATCAAGTTAGTTATGACTCATAGTGACCCTATATAATGGTTTCCGAAGAATGACTGGTGAATTTGAATCACTGACTTTGTAGTTAGCAGCCCGGTACTTATCCTACAGTGTCACATGATTTTGAGTTTTGTTCCACATTTTCCCCACCCTACCCAGAACCAAGGAGCTCTGGTAGCGTAGTGGTTACAAATTGGGCTGCTAATCCCACGGTCAGCAGTTCAAAACTACCAGCTGTTCCACAGAAGAAAGATGAGGATTTCTGCTCCCATAAAGATTTACAGCTTTGGAAACCCTGTACAGTGTTTCTGTGAGGTGGAACTGACTCCATGGCACACAACAACAACAAAAACAACAACCCAGGACCTTCTAATGTGATCACTTTCAAAGATTCAGCAAGAAAATTAACCCACAGCACCACACTAAGACTCCACCCTTAAAATTAAATACTTAGGAATAAATCTAACCAGAGGAATCAAAGATCTATCCAAAGAACACTACAAAGCACTTCTACAAGCAATCAAAAGAGACCAACATAAATGGAAGAATGTACCATGTTCATGGACAAGAAGACTTAACATTGCAAAAACGACTGTAGCGCATTAAGCTTTCTAAAGATATACTACAATCCTGATCCAGATTCCAACATCATTCTTTAAAGAGATGGAAAAACTAGTCACCAATTTTATACGGAAAGAGAACTTGGGTAAGCAAAACACCACTTAAGAAGAACCCTATACTGACTGGGTTGCTATGAGTTAGAAATGGCTCAACAGCACTTAACAACAATGACAACACAAAGATATGGCTGGTCTTTCACAGAGGTCCACAACAATGGGGAAGAAATAATAACTTTACCAAGTTACTGGAAAAACTGAGTATCTATTTGTACAAGAATGATACAAGACCTGTATCTCACAACATATACAAAGAGGAATTAAAGATGGATCAAAGACCTAAATGTAAAACCTAAACTATAAAGATCATCAATGCAATATTAGACAAACTTAGGGGTCCTGATACATAGCATAAATACACTATCAAACATAACTGAAAACACACAAACAGCAGAAGACAAACTAGATGACTGGGATCTCCTAAAAAGCAGACACTTGCGTGCATCAAAAGGTTTCACCCAAAGAGTAAAAACAGAAAAGTTTTGGCAATGACATATCAGACAGGACTAATTTCTAAAATTTATAGACCACGACAATACCTCAGCAACAAAAACACAAAAAATCCAGTACCAGTAATTTTTAAATTTTGATATCACCTGGATATATCATATTACTTTACACCTCCCTTCATTTTCAACATCTGCATCTTTATTTTTTCAGATTTCATTCATGATAAGATTGCAAATAGATTTATTTGTACTATTTTGTGTTTTCTATGAACTAGGCTTTTTCTTTCTCTTCCTTCTTTCCTACTTTCTATTAGACAAATTGTCTTTCTTTATTCTATCTCTTTTTCCTACCATGATTTGACATTTAATGTTCCCTTTCATTTCTTTTAAATGTTAGCTTTAAAATGTTAATATACATACTGGATTAAGGTCTACATTTAACAATTTTCCCTTCATAAACAAACAAGACAAGCTTTTTTCTCAGCAATTTCTTCTGATGGTCTATGATATTTTTAAATAGTATTTTAGTTCAACCTTGGTTTGCAACTATAAATATTATTCATATTCCCATTTAATTGCAGTTTTACCTACTCTATGTTATGCCAACTGGGGCAAGCTCTCAAGCTAACCACCCTGAAAACAGAAACTCACTTAGTGTCATTTACTTCTTCCAAAGTGTCTATATCTCTATACGATCGATCTGTCTGTATTTGGTGTAAACAGGGTGCTGTAGGACAATGGTTTTTGTATTTTGTGCAGAAACTATCATTTTTATCTGCAGGAGGGTCATTCCAATAGGCAAATACTGAGTCACTACCAGAAAGAGAACTCCTTTACTCTTTTTTTAGTTGATATTTATATAGATTTATTCACATTTGTCAAGAGTTTGTTCATCATTGCTTTTTCCTGTATCTGGTTTTTCTTTTTTTCCCCTCGAATGTTAAACGTCTTTATTGCTTAAGTTCTTCTGATAATTCTTTCACCAAGGTAAACTGTTTAACAGACTTTCTTTGCAGAAAACATCCATTTTATTCTACACACAGGGCCACCATGATTCAGAATCAACTCCATAGTACCTGACAACAACAACACTGAATGACAGCTTAGTCTGGGTGCTGAATTCTAAGCTGACAGCTCTCTTTCTAGAAGTACCTGGAAGGTATTAACCATTCCTCTACTATCCTATTCCCCTACTCCTCCTCCCCACCCCGGGCTTCAAAAGAATGCTGTCAGTTGAAGTGTTCCATCGTAGGGAATCTATGTTTGCTCCTGGGGTAATTTCTTTTTTTTTTTTGGTAAACTGTTTTATTGAGTTATGTTTCATGAATCATGCAATGCACCATCTAAAGTATGTAATTCAATGGTTTTTGTTACATTAAAAGATTTGTGCAAGCCATAACCATTGTCAATTTTTAAACATTTCTTCACCTCAAAACCAAAACAAAATTGTTTCATTATTACATCCCCAGCCTCCACCTTCATCCCTGTGTAGTTACCAATCGACTTTCTGTGCCTATACATTTGTCCAGTCTGAACCTTCATAGGATGGAATTATACAGCATGAGGTCTTTTTTGCCTGACTTCTTTAATTGAGCATAATGTTTCCAAGGTTCAGCCATGATCCTGTACTTCATTCCTTTTAATGGCCAAATACTCCTCCATGGAATGAAGAGATCACATTTTATTGATCCATTTGTCTGTTGATGGTCATTTGTGTTGTTTCCATCTTTTGGTAATTATGAATAATACTGCTGTACATTTTTGTGTACAAGTTGATGAGTGGACATATTTTTTTCATTTACTTTGGAAATATACGTAGGAGTAGAATTGTTGGGTCATATGGTAACTCTGTTTACTCATTTGAGGAGTTGCCAGGTTGTTTTCCTAAGTTGCTGGATTGTTTTATATTTCCACCAGCAGGATATGAAGGAGGGTTCTAATTTCTACACATTTTCACTTACATTCATGCTTATCTGACTTTGATTCTAAAATTCTAACCAGTGTGAAATGAAATCTCATTGTAGCTTTGATTTGCATTTCTCTGATGACTAATGATGTTGCACACCTTTTCATGTGATTATTGATCAGTATGTTTATTTTATTGAAAAACGTCTATTCAGATCCTTTTTCCATTTTCATCAGGTTGTCTTTTTATAACTACTTTGTAAGAGTTCTTTATGCATTCCAGATATGAGTCCCTTGTCAGATATATGATACGTAAATATTCCCTTTGCCTCCCATTTCATGGCTTGTCTTTTCATTTTCTTGTTTTTCATTTAAAAGCACAGAACATTTCATTTTGATGAGGCCAAATTGTTGCTTGCGCATTTGGTTTTACAGCTAAGACTCCACTGCCAACTCCTAGGTCATGAAGATTTATCTCTGATTTTGCCTAAGAGTTTTGTGGATTTTGCAGTGGCAAAGTGCTGTGTACTGAGAAGTTGCACACTGCTCATTGGTGCTAGCTTGTCATGATGAGTCAGCATTCTCTGCCTTTGGTGTATGAGGGATAAGCAATGGTGTGCATGTCACTTGTTTGTAATCCTTAAGCTAGTTTGTCTCAAAGACAGTAGTTCTGATCCATAGCTATGAGCCACCATTCATACTCACAAGCACTACCGCTTAGGTCCTCCTCATTCACTCAGTTTACACTTGTTGAGCAACTACAGGCATGACAAGAAGATGAAAGGGAACAAGACATAGTCCCACTCTTCAAGATACTTGAATCAAAATGGGGATCCAGATAAAGAAAAACCAGGCAAAATACCAAGTGATTATAAGTTGTGAGGTATTCTTTGATGGGATAAATTGGGTACTGAGACATGGGGACCTGTTTTAGAAGACTTTTCTAGGAGGAAACATTTAAGAGCATAGGTTAAGAAGAAACTACCTGACTGGATTGCATTCCAGGAAGAGGGCACAGCAGTGAAAAAGAGC